TTGTGTCGCCTAGCGTAGCCTTGAATCTGGCAGTTCTCCCAACATACTTGAGCAGTTCCTTTATGCCGTCCATATCCTCCAAGATTCCCTGCAAGTCCCTTGAGCGCCGGCCTAAGGCTTTGTCCATGTCATAGTGTTCGGCTGCGTATGTCTGACACTCGAAAAGATAATGAATGACCGTTTCCACTACTGACCCGCGCCCTGCCTCCCAGCAGCTCGCGCAGCGCCTGACGTCTGATCTGTTGATGCGGTGTAAGTACCCGTTGAGCGGTATGTGCCCCGTTCGGAGCTGTATTAGCAGACTGGACTGTGACCGAGAGAGTGTGTTGCTGATCTTTCGAAACTTGTTGAAAGGGAAGGCCCGATCGATGTGTTGGAACCTCGCAAAGCACGGCGAGGCTTTCCATAGTTCGAGCCATCTGACCTTCTGACCTTCTGCAAACTCCTGTTTCGCCGCCGCCACGCTGATAGGCAGAAGCTTTTGGAGAATGGGCGGTAGCTCCTCTGGCAGACTCGACTCCCCCTGCACCGCTTTCTTTGCCTCCTCGTCTACTCTCTCATTGCCCGTTACTCCTTTATGCACTGCTATCCACTTCAAAGCGAACTTGGTGGTATCTGTGGTGTTAAGCCTGTTAGTGCCGTCATCCATGACCTCCGTCAGTCTCATGTACTCCAGGACCAGATATTGTCCTGGTCCCGAGTTCCTCGCTCCCGTTGCCTTGATGAAAGCCTGACTATCAGAATAAGTAGCCACCTTCACCTTCCCTACCTCTGATCGACCTTGCAGCATCCATGCCGCCAGTATGGATCCTACTGCTTCGCCTTCAAATGTGGTGTGCTGCTTGATCGACCCTAGATGAAAATGTAAGATCTTTTCCGGTTCCTCTGTCCCTTTCCTGTACAACACCGCTGCCACTCCAACCTTTCCCTCATAGCCTGATCCATCCATGTAAATCTTGATGTCTGAGTTGTCGTTCTTCTCCGCCTTAATCGAATCTTCCTTTGTATCTGCAATTGTCGTCGTGAATTTGCTCTTGTATGTCGGCGGTCGAGGTTCTGGCGTGATCATTTCATATAGATGCGGCTTGATCTTGTAGCGCTCTATGAGTTTCTGGATAGGAGTGAGGTGCGTTTTTGCCGGCGTGTGGCTGTATCGTCGTATCATTTCTCGGGTGGGGTGTCCTGCTGGGAGGGATGCTGCTCGCACCATCGCCGCATAGCAGATGTGTTCTAGCATAAGGTTAGCTGGTAGTGCACCGGCATGGGCGTCCAGGAGATCGTTGGGAGACGTCCGTAAACCCCCTGTTATAGCTATGCGTTGTATCTTACCCATTGACTTCAGAGCCCTGACTGATCCGCTGTTGTTCCGTTTGCCTTCCTTCTTGTATGGAGGTACAAACCAAACGTCCAGGGCATATGTCATCTTGGGGACTGCTACCGAAATGTAGAGCTGTCTCATTAGCCTGGGCCGGATACCTAAGCTGGTACGAGTTAGCCTTCGAAACATCAACATGTAAGCTGTAGCCTTAGCCATAGCCTCATTCTCTTGGATTGCAATTTTTCAATAGATACCCTGGGCATTTCATTGCGATTTTTCAAATGTATCCCTGGGTATTTCATTGCAAAATTTCAAATGTAGCCCTGGGCATTTCATTACGATTTTTCAAATGGAGCCCTGGGCATTTCATTGTGATTTTTCAAATGTATTCCTGGGTATTTCATTGCGATTTTTCAAATGTATCCCACATGTCAGGGTCTATGCAATGGGCTTCCCTGGAGGGTGGTCACATGACCAATTACCAAAAATGGTCAAAAACGAAAGTTGTAGCCCTACACTGTAGCTTCCCGAATCTGTCTGAATTATGTTCTGAAGTGCTCCCATTGTGGAGATATGAGGTAAAGGAATTTAAAAAGTGTCGCATTTTTTTTTTTTTTTTGTATTTTTCTCTATGAAAACAAAACCAAATAACATGATTTCAGTATATTCAGAAAGTTAAAAGAAAGGGCTACAATTATTGTATCGTGGGAAAAATGACCAAAAAAGGAAGGTGCATCCCCTACTATAAGAATCAGATATAGACTACCAAGTTTACTGATAGACTACAAAAAAGTCGGACTTAGACTACACAGTTTACTGATACACTATAAAAGACTACAAAAGTCGAAATTAGACTACAAAGTTTACTAATACACTACAAAAGTCGAACTTAGACTACAAAAGCGTGGACTTAGACTACAAAGTTAGGGTTAGAGTCAAAAGGTTATCTTGACTACAAAGTTTGTAGTGTGCACTTTTTCATTAAAAAAGTTTGTAGTGTTGCGCTTTTTCATTAGAAAAGTTTGTAGTTGACATGTAGTTTATGGTGTCCTTAGCCCTATCTATGTTATGGGGATGAGGTTGAAGGATTGCCATCATATTGCCAGTGCTGCAGCATTAGTATTTGACATCATGCACAAGTTGTCTTTCACATTAGGAAAGGCCATTCCATGTCTTTCATATTGATACCTACTGTCCTATCTCAAGACATAATTGTAAGCTCATATGGGGATATG